ACACTTGATAGCGCACCATTCATATATTTGTGACGTTGCCGGATGGATTTTACTTGAAAGAATAACGTATCCGTACATAAGCTCTTACAAAAATAAAAATTTTTAGCATTGAGAATCTCAAACTTTTGGCGATAGCTAATTGTACAAAAAGGCTTACCAAAATATGAGTGGCATGTCAAGACGCTTTTGTCAAAAATAAGGGTAGATTAGATATTAGATTTAAAAGGAGTTTAACATTATTTGTCCGTGTCCACCGTGACCTTTTCAGATCTATTGTGGGACTCAGTTTGTTTTAGAGTATGTCATTTAAGCTTGAACATTTTTATTAGTCTTAGTTTCCTTGACAGTGGCATCCACATGCATGTAGTTACATGTTCTGGCTTTTCTTCATCTAGTATTAGAAATCTTAATCTAGTTAGGCTTTCACATTGGTGCAGGACGTGGATTGATGTTTCCTTTTCTTATTCACATAACCCGAATAAATAAAAAAAAAATTTTAAAGTACCTAAGAATTTAAAAATAATTTAATTTTGTAAAAGAAGTGAAAACTTACTTTTTAGAAGATACCTTGGGAGATTCTACTTCTAGTACACAGCAACTACGGTTGCTTATTACATTATTCTTACTTCTTTTTTTGCAAAAAAAGTAAAATGTATACGTGTATTTTGATACGCCAAAATTACAAAATATCGCCCTAAAGTGGTCAAATTATCTTCAGCTGGCGCTAGTATCGCTTTTGCTTCCCCTACCATAACTTCGCACTGAGCGAATATAATCATCATATGTTTTCACATATACATTTTCTATACTACTTCCCTCAACGAAGTATGTGCAATTAAAAAAGTTTACTTTGTGTTTATTAAACTACAACTGGGAGACAAGTACTTGTTTACTAACTCTATTGGCAAAACATTGGATTTCAACTAAATAGTGATCTAAAAAAAATTTGGCATCTTTTAGTTTTGAGATCTTCACCATTTATTTTCAAGTTGTTCAGCCACAATGACGCTGAACAATGTCTTTAGGAAACCTGTAAATGTATATACCATAAAATAACCAGTTTTTATAATTAGGTATTTTTATATCAAGAAATAAATAAAACCCTAGCACAGTTGTTACGCCCATGGATATCTACATTATTTACATTTCATGAGATTGATTTTGAAATAACCTACCTGTGAAAATAGCGAGCATCGGTTTTGGGTGTTTTTGGTCCAAAATGTTCGGAAAACTATGCATCTCTTTACTATTTTGAAATGTATATTCACGTTTGTAGACAAAATTTCTCTTATATAAATAAATAAAACGAGAATATTCCACTAAAATAAAATACCGAACAACACTTTTAAAAACATACACAAACAGGGTTGCCAAATGTTCAGTTAAAATATAAGTATTTAATGGTTAAACCGATGTATCCTAGTGAACAAAATCTAAAAACATCTAATTTAAACACTGATTCACCGCAGAAAAAAATTAAGTGAGAAATTTTATGAATATAATCCAGATTCTTCAATGAATTGTTAAATATTAAGCTCCATATTAAGTATTTTGAACCTTGAAACATTGGAAACTAATCATTATTATCCTTATACGTTTAACCGATCCTAGACACTGCGGCAAGCATATTTGTATACAACACCCAGGATCGCCAGTCGGCTTTCGCCCGAACATATCTGGTAAATAGCAGACGATATGGCAAATGGCTTGGGTAACTAACATCCGTGATCGCAAAAATGTTCGTTAAAAATCAGTTTTTAGGCGTTTTAAAGATATACCGTTAGAAAGAACAACCTATAACCTTGTCCAATTGGTAGATTTTATTACAACAAATTTTAACGCCTATTATAAACAAAGATTATTGGATATAGTTACCAACAAAGTAGATATTAGGAAATATACAGTAAACGATAAGGATGTTAAACCAATATTCAGTCCTAAGTTCCTCAAGCTCTATCGAACATTATGTTGATATGCAAAGTTTTACTTGTTCTTGTCCCGAAGGCTATACAGGGAAGATATGCAAACATCAATCAGGTGTTATAAAAAAATACAACACAACATCAGCATGTAATATCTTGTGTCAAGACCAAAAAATAATTTTATATAAGATAGCTACTGGCACGAACCCTCCTAACTAGTTCCTAAAACCACTGCTTTTAGTAAAGGAACCGGAATCCAGCACTACCTGTTTAACAAAAATACAAACTATTTGTTAGAAAGACCCATCACAACCTCTTCATTTGATACAGATTGCAATAATGATTTTGAAATGACAACCCTATAAAGGAAGTAAATACCAGTGCTCTTATAAATGAGTGGAAACTATTTGCAACGAAATTTACATCCGATATCGAAAAAAATTTGAGAGTTGACCTGGAAAACTTTCAAGAAGGAGTAAAAGTCTTTATGAACAGTTAGAATACGAATGTGAAAAGTTCCTCCAGCCTTTTAAGTGGCTTACATACTGCATTTAAATTTAGGGGTACTAGCACCAAACGATTAATTAACGCTTCTCAAAAGGGCATGAAAATTTCCGTACAATCAACTACTATTATGCGCAGAAAAACTAAATTTACAGGGAGAAGGCGATTCCAATCAGGGAGGAAACCGAAAAATGGAACTCAGAAACAGATGTTAGCACCCCATGATTTACAAGAATGCGTTAAACTACCTGTTACCTAGAATACATATTTTGTTAATTAAATTTGCAATAAAAGTGCCAAAATCTATCAAAGTTGTTGAAATTTGCAATCACGAATGCTATTTAGTAAATAGGATTTACGATATCGTATGCTGTTTACGGAAGCGGTTACGGCAGCGTTCGGGCTACAACCGAATCGCAATCATGGACGTCGTTTACAAATATGCATGCGACGTTAAACATAAACATCTCACAAAACCGTAATATTATGGTCATCGTCATGCGCAGTAAATAAAAACCGTTCGACTTTGGGCTTTATTGATAGGTTTTTATTTACTGCGCATGACGATGACCGTAATATTACGGTTTTGTGAGATGTTTATGTTTAACGTCGATAATTAACTTCTCATTTATTCAATAAAAGAAAATCGAAAAATCGAAAAATCGAAAAATCGAAAAATCGAAAAATCGAAAAATCGAAAAATCGAAAAATCGAAAAATCGAAAAATCGAAAAATAAAAAAATCGAAAAATCGAAAAATCGAAAAATCGAAAAATCGAAAAATCGAAAAATCGAAAAATCGAAAAATCGAAAAATCGAAAAATCGAAAAATCGAAAAATCGAAAAATCGAAAAATCGAAAAATCGAAAAATCGAAAAATCGAAAAATCAAAAAATCGAAAAATCGAAAAATCAAAAAATCGAAAAATCGAAAAATCGAAAAATCGAAAAATCGAAAAATCGAAAAATCGAAAAATCGAAAAATCGAAAAATCGAAAAATCGAAAAATCGAAAAATCGAAAAATCGAAAAATCGAAAAATCGAAAAATCGAAAAATCGAAAAATCGAAAAATCGAAAAATCGAAAAATCGAAAAATCGAAAAATCGAAAAATCGAAAAATCGAAAAATCGAAAAATCGAAAAATCGAAAAATCGAAAAATCGAAAAATCGAAAAATCGAAAAATCGAAAAATCGAAAAATCGAAAAATCGAAAAATCGAAAAATCGAAAAATCGAAAAATCGAAAAATCGAAAAATCGAAAAATCGAAAAATCAAAAAATCAAAAAATCGAAAAATCGAAAAATAAAAAATCGAAAAATCGAAAAATCGAAAAATCGAAAAATCGAAAAATCGAAAAATCGAAAAATCGAAAAATCAAAAAATCAAAAAATCCAAAAACCGAAAAATCGAAAAATCGAAAAATCGAAAAATCGAAAAATCGAAAAATCGAAAAATCGAAAAATCGAAAAATCGAAAAATCGAAAAATCGAAAAATCGAAAAATCGAAAAATCGAAAAATCGAAAAATCGAAAAATCGAAAAATCGAAAAATCGAAAAATCGAAAAATCGAAAAATCGAAAAATCGAAAAATCGAAAAATCGAAAAATCGAAAAATCGAAAAATCGAAAAATCGAAAAATCGAAAAATCGAAAAATCGAAAAATCGAAAAATCGAAAAATCGAAAAATCGAAAAATCGAAAAATCGAAAAATCGAAAAATCGAAAAATCGAAAAATCGAAAAATCGAAAAATCGAAAAATCGAAAAATCGAAAAATCGAAAAATCGAAAAATCGAAAAATCGAAAAATCGAAAAATCGAAAAATCGAAAAATCGAAAAATCGAAAAATCGAAAAATCGAAAAATCAAAAAATCGAAAAATCGAAAAATCGAAAAATCGAAAAATCGAAAAATCAAAAAATCGAAAAATCGAAAAATCGAAGAATCAAAAAATCGAAAAATCGAAAAATGGTTCTAAACATTTTGCATAACACGTTTTTCACAATCTATCCAAAGCAAAACTATGAAAGATTTGAATACTAGATTTACACTTACAGTATTATCCATTTAGTTTTGAGATTGCAGTTTCTGAGATATTTTTCACATAACCTCAGCACGAATATACATTCTCATGTAACATAAAGCTAAAATAAAAATAAATTGCATAATTTGGTGTATAAAAAAGCACAAAATATTTTTAGTTTTTTTCTACTACATTAGTTCATTCCATTTGTACCACATTGATATTGTGCACGTTTAAAGTAGATTGATGTTTTTATAACACTATTACTGCAAGACAAACGATAATCGTGGATTTTGGCAAACAAACATCAGAAAATTGTTGCCAACTTAAGCTTGCCACAGAGAAACCTTCATCCATTAATTGGGGCTATATCGTGACCCCCTTAAATAGACTAGACCTGAATTTTATCACATCGACCTTTTTCCAGTCATGTATACTACCTTCCCCTACCTCTATCTGTTCTACATCACTACTAAGTATTTTTTGGCTTACCTTTTAAATTTTTTCCTACAGCAATAAACTACAATGTTATTTTTCAACTAAACTGTATTTATTTGGTTTTATGATTATTTCCCTCCCATACAAGCCCTATTTTTCCTATTTTTACCACCTATAGAACTTCCCCTTAAAAAAGTATGCTTTATTAATAACTTAAGATACTAAATAACATGAAACTAAAATGAAAATATTTTTCGAGTACGTAAGTCCATTTCAGAATAATTGAGTTTTATTTTGATGTAGAAGGAAGAAAAGGTAACAGGTTCCCTAACTGTTCAATGGAATAATTTGGGATATCAGTCGGGTCCAATGGCTGCGTTTTTTCTGATAAATAATTAGGGGCACCTGACATTACTAACAATGTCTGAAATCTACAATTCTTGCCTAATTGAACATCTGTATTGCATCTATCTCCCACAAGCATTGTGCGGTTTGGATCTATATTAAATTGCTTCTTTAGCGCTTCTCCTAAGAAGGAATATGGTTTACCTACGATTACAGCTTCTCGATTAGCTACAGCTTCAACTGCTCTTAATATACTTCCAGTACCTGGCATTATTAACGACTGATGAATCTTAAAACTCTCGTCAGTATTAGTCGATAAGAATATGCAAGAGGGATTATTCAGGTAAGAGGCAGCTTTTAAAAGTTTAGTATAACAGAAATGCTCATCGAATCCCACTATAACTGCACCGACACGGGGATCTGGAACAAAGTGTTCTATAGTTTGCGTTAAGCTGTGCTGCAAGGGATCCGGTCCATACCCCAAACAACGAATTCCAGCAAGCTCTAATTCGTTTATGATCCCTTTAGAACCGATCACATAAGCTTTTTTATCAAAATTTCGATTTTTCAAATACAACGCAACCAAGTATGCCGATGATATGATATCTCGCATTCCAATATCGTAGCCCATTTTTTTGGCTTTTTCAAGAAATTCCTGTCTTAATTTTACTGAATTGTTTGTTAGCAGCACTACTCTTTTTCCTATGGATTGTAATTTATTGAACGCCTCTACGGATCCTGGTATGGGTTTATTTTCTATCCATAAAACTCCGTCGCAGTCAAATATTATAGTGTCGATATCTGCTAAAAGTTTAGTAACTTGATCTACAGATAGTTTTGAAATATCAGGCGATAATAAATTCGACTTAGACATGTTTTATTTAAACGGATTGTCTAAATGACTTTCGTCGTGTCATTTTGAAACTAAGCTCGACATCGCGAGATGTAATTATGAAGACTAGTCTTCATTTATGTATTATTCAAGGTGAAATATCAAACATGTAGCAGGAACTAGCGAATCGAAAATATTTTAGAAACGAAAAGATATTTTTATGCTTTAAGGGGAAGAAAAAACTAAAAAATTACAATGGTTTTAAAGAAAAAGAAATGAAAAATAAAATGTAGAAATATATGGTGAAGATTTAGATGTACAAAAAAAAGAAGTAATAATAAAAGTAGAAAAGATAAAAATTGATGGAGAAAACAGAGTTATAAAATTAAAAAAGGAGTGAATAGGAATAAAATTATTTAAAAAATTCTGATGTGTCCAACACATGACTTTCCTATCTAGTTATTATAGGCTTTATCCGGTTATTTTGTATTGCAGCACATCTATAAATGTTTAGAGGATAAGCTAAATATATACATTTTCCACATACATCTAACTCGAAACATTTTTCTATAGATATTCATTGAAAATGAAAATGTGTGTGTGTGTGTGTGTGTGTGTGTGTGTGTGTGTGTGTGTGTGTGTGTGTGTGTGTGTGTGTGTGTGTGTGTGTGTGTGTGTGTGTGTGTGTGTGTGTGTGTGTGTGTGTGTGTGTGTGTGTGTGTGTGTGTGTGTGTGTGTGTGTGTGTGTGTGTGTGTGTGTGTGTGTGTGTGTGTGTGTGTGTGTGTGTGTGTGTGTGTGTGTGTGTGTGTGTGTGTGTGTGTGTGTGTGTGTGTGTGTGTGTGTGTGTGTGTGTGTGTGTGTGTGTGTGTGTGTGTGTGTGTGTGTGTGTGTGTGTGTGTGTGTGTGTGTGTGTGTGTGTGTGTGTGTGTGTGTGTGTGTGTGTGTGTGTGTGTGTGTGTGTGTGTGTGTGTGTGTGTGTGTGTGTGTGTGTGTGTGTGTGTGTGTGTGTGTGTGTGTGTGTGTGTGTGTGTGTGTGTGTGTGTGTGTGTGTGTGTGTGTGTGTGTGTGTGTGTGTGTGTGTGTGTGTGTGTGTGTGTGTGTGTGTGTGTGTGTGTGTGTGTGTGTGTGTGTGTGTGTGTGTGTGTGTGTGTGTGTGTGTGTGTGTGTGTGTGTGTGTGTGTGTGTGTGTGTGTGTGTGTGTGTGTGTGTGTGTGTGTGTGTGTGTGTGTGTGTGTGTGTGTGTGTGTGTGTGTGTGTGTGTGTGTGTGTGTGTGTGTGTGTGTGTGTGTGTGTGTGTGTGTGTGTGTGTGTGTGTGTGTGTGTGTGTGTGTGTGTGTGTGTGTGTGTGTGTGTGTGTGTGTGTGTGTGTGTGTGTGTGTGTGTGTGTGTGTGTGTGTGTGTGTGTGTGTGTGTGTGTGTGTGTGTGTGTGTGTGTGTGTGTGTGTGTGTGTGTGTGTGTGTGTGTGTGTGTGTGTGTGTGTGTGTGTGTGTGTGTGTGTGTGTGTGTGTGTGTGTGTGTGTGTGTGTGTGTGTGTGTGTGTGTGTGTGTGTGTGTGTGTGTGTGTGTGTGTGTGTGTGTGTGTGTGTGTGTGTGTGTGTGTGTGTGTGTGTGTGTGTGTGTGTGTGTGTGTGTGTGTGTGTGTGTGTGTGTGTGTGTGTGTGTGTGTGTGTGTGTGTGTGTGTGTGTGTGTGTGTGTGTGTGTGTGTGTGTGTGTGTGTGTGTGTGTGTGTGTGTGTGTGTGTGTGTGTGTGTGTGTGTGTGTGTGTGTGTGTGTGTGTGTGTGTGTGTGTGTGTGTGTGTGTGTGTGTGTGTGTGTGTGTGTGTGTGTGTGTGTGTGTGTGTGTGTGTGTGTGTGTGTGTGTGTGTGTGTGTGTGTGTGTGTGTGTGTGTGTGTGTGTGTGTGTGTGTGTGTGTGTGTGTGTGTGTGTGTGTGTGTGTGTGTGTGTGTGTGTGTGTGTGTGTGTGTGTGTGTGTGTGTGTGTGTGTGTGTGTGTGTGTGTGTGTGTGTGTGTGTGTGTGTGTGTGTGTGTGTGTGTGTGTGTGTGTGTGTGTGTGTAACACCAAATTTTAAACTTAAGCTTTGTTGTAGCGTCCAATGAACTGATTAGATTTTGAGCAGAGTAGGAACATCTGGGGGGGTACTTTATAAGTGGTCATTTTTATATAATTTTTATATTTATACAATATATCTGTTATTTACGTTTGGGGAAGAAATTTCTTTAAATAAAAGTTACTTCTATTATTGTCTAAAATTTTTGTTTTATACAAAATTTTCCTAAAATGGTCCGTATTCGAGAAATTTGACAAAATCTAAAAAATATTTTTTTATAATAATTGTTCAAATAAAAGTTGTTTATAATATAATTCTCTATAATTTTTATTCCATACATAATTTCTCTAAAATGGACCGTATTCGAGAAATTTGAGAAAATTTTAAATTTTTAAATTTGAAGAAAACTCAAAAACGGATAAAAAAACATTAAATTTTAAACTTAAGTTTTATTTTAGCCTAATGTGAAATGATTAGATTTTGGACAAATTTGGAACATCTGGGGGGGTACTTTATGGGAGGCCGTTTTTATATTTTATCAAATATATCTGTTATTTATGTTTGGAGAAAAAATTATTCAAATAAAAGTTACTTTTAATATTATTATCTATAATTTCTGCTATATGTCAAAATTTCCTGAAATGGTCCGTATTCGAGAAATTTGACAAAATGTGCAAAATTCTAATTTTTATGAAAATTGTTGAACTAAAAGTTGTTTGCGATATCGATCTCTATAATTTTTGTTTATACATGATTCTATAATTTTTGTTTATACATGATTTTTCTAAAATGGACCGTAATGAAAAAATAGTAGGAAATTTAAATTTTTCAGTATTTTCGTTTTCAATGAATATAGAAAAATCTATCGAGGTAGATGTATGAAAATGTATATGTTTAGTTTATCCTCTAAACATTTATAGAGGTCCTGCAATAGGTTGTACAAAATAACCGGAAAAAGCCTGTAATAACTAGATAGGAAAGTCATGTGTTGGACACATCAGATTTTTTTTATAAAAATATAATCAAACTAGTGTTCGTCCAGTGATTGAAATTCGACCATATACTCATTATTGAAAATTTGAGAAAAACATTTATGCATTTGCATGATTCTAACATATTTTTTTTATACATTCATTTATTGTATATATGCGACCATAAACTTTTATGTGTACTTACGATACAACATAGTTCAATACCATTATAATTAAATAACAAATAAATTCAATAAAATAACAATAACTCACAATTTAAAAACCCTCATTAATTGATATGATATGAAACATAACGGCAAATAATAACAATAAGAACCGTCCTTACCCTGTGCAAACTCTTTTTCTGGGGTTAAAATTCACTTGTAAGGTTATAATAGGGATAGTATTATTATGATACTTAAAATCCTATCCCGGACCTGCCTGCTGGGTGCCGTACGACTGAATCCTTTGTATTGCAGAAGTAATAAGAAAAAGCAAAAATATCTTTGAATAAAACTATACCTACTTGTTTTCTGTGAAACTCAATAATAATACCTTTTTGACGTGAAAAAGATGTGTATATTTTAATTATGGAGAAGTTACCAGTAATTAAACTAAACGTATGCCTACCCTGCAAGTCGGAAGACCATCCTTCTCGATCGCGATCATCATACGAAAGGAGGGTAAGGGGAGAGTGGGGCAAACCAGGATAGCTATCCGCGATTCGCCAAAAAGCTAGAATGAAGCTGTGCATCGTCCTCGAACCTGGTAACCGGGGCATCGCTCCCAGTTTGACCTATTTCCACAATTTTCATCAATGACATCACGCTGACGTCATTCGAATGTAGGACAATTTCATTCTGAAAATCGGGTAGAGCAGAGCCTCTGCATTGAGTTAATATCTCATATAATTTCTTTACAATGGCTCCGTTCGGGTTTATTTTCAGATAATTATGGTTTAATGGACTCATATTTTACATAATATTTAACAATATTGTTTAATATATTTGTTTTTTATTAGAAGATGTAAGTTCTTTTAGAAAAATGCCAATAAATACAAAACAGTAATTAAAAATGGAATTTTTATAACTAATTATCCAAAAAAGAGAAATAAAAATATACATAAATATAATAAACCAAGAAACAAACATTAATCATTATCCGAAGTAATAATTGATTTATTTAATGTTTCGGCCTTTACTTGATGAAAATCCATATTATCTTAAATGAGTCAAACCAAATTATGTAGATTTTCACAAATCTTTCATTATTAAAAAATAAAAATTAAAAACACTAAACATGACATGTTTCGAAGTACAACTTCTTCTTCACATGTGACTAATTTACAATTCGGTGTTCAATATATATGCGAAGTAATTTAACCAATCCAAGTAATTAAGAAAATACATCAATAACATAACAAAATAAACTGACTATTTAAAGTAAATAAGGGTACTTAAGTAATTATGATATCAATCAGATAACAATAAGATAGTAACATTACCGGGATTATCTCACAGAAAACTAGGAAAGAGATTTAATAAAGGTGAGTTATTAATATCTAATTGATCATTTAGTAGGTTATCTGAATTTTTAAATTTATTTATTTCAAGTGTTTCTAAATGGTTTAGTTTAATGTCCTTATTTTCTATATGTAAAATTTCAAAGTTGTCTGTAAAAGAATGATTTTCAGCCAAAATATGATTTGAGTAAGTAGAATTATTTTTGTTTTTTGTATAGCTTTTATAATGTTCGGAATAGCGCTTTTTGAAAGTTAGGCCTGTTTGACCAATATACAATTTTGGATAACTACCATAATTTAATTTATATACCTCCGATTTATTATTAGGATTAATTTTACACTTTTTGTTTTTAAAATACTTCCCAAGCGTATTATTGGTTTTGAAAGCTACGTTAATATTTTGGGTTTTTTAAATATGATGATACCCTTTCACTAGGAGCTTCTATATATATATAAGTCTTATATCTGCAATTTTGATCTTTAATTATGGGATAAACTTGTTGAATAGCATGTTTAAAAAGTTTTTTCCCTAAAATGTTGTCTACTAACTTTGAA